CAACCTTCTGCTGAGATGACTCATCCGTAGCTCCTCTCTCCCCACTACTAAAGTTTATACAAAGGAAGAACAGAGAAGAGCACGCCAGCCCTACGTACTTAATGCCAATGTATAGAAATGGAAGGGAGGCCATTGGGCCTTTGATTTGGGAACATGGCAAGGCACTTTCTTCCTCTTATGCCATTTTCAATCGCCTTTGCATTAAAGATGGAAAAAGGATGAGAATCCTGGGAGGGGGGAATGAATTTTAGATGGAGGAAGGTGAGAGGACTTATGGACAGGTTTCCTTTCAATTCTTTCTTTGCTCTACCTACTTCATCCTATCATCTGAAAAAAAGCATTTCCATTCCCCCAAAGCACCAAAGAGTTTTCCTAATCAAATAACCTTATAACTGGACAATCTCCCAGCCCCTCCAATGCAGGTTCCTAATTGATTCTGCTCCCTAAACACACATGATTTTCCATCTATACTTGCATCCCTACACAGTCCTAGTTCTGTTCTCCCACACACAAGCTGCCCCAATTAATTCAATACTGTTCCCTTCACCTCTGCAGACAGCCCAACAAAAAACATGCACTAGAATGAATTCCTTTATCTCCCTAGCACAGAAATTCATGCTTTCCATTCTCCTTGAGATTCTCCAGTTCACCCCACGTTACACATCAGAAGTGTCCCCTTCATAATGGCTTGCAAGTTTTGTGTTGTCTTGTTCTTCTTCTGGTCCCTGCACTCCATACCTCTTCCCCTCTCTCTCTGCTGCTATGAGAGCAGCAGATGAGGGGTTTTCCTCCAGTTCATGGGGAAACACTCTTCTACCATCCAGGAACTTGGGTCTGGAGAGCATCAACTGGAAAAAGTCTTCCACTGGCTCTCCCTTTGAAGTGATGGAAACCTTTTGATTTCCCTTTGGGTGACAGAAATCAGAAGGTAAAATTATAGAGCATGGTTTTCCCAAAACAGTGCTCGTGCCCTATATTTGCAGGGCTGGGGACTCTGCCTAAAGTGTATCTTGAGTACACTGTCCCTTTATTAACTGCAACAGCTCCACCCGAAATTCCTGAAAGGCAGCATACGTAGGAAAAGCAGAATCATGGATCTGAAAAGTGCATTGGGGGTGGGCAGTGAGGACAAGGGCTGTTAGTGGGCTTCTTTTATCTGAAATTCTACTCTCCCACCCTCCAGGAAGATAAAGATAGAGATAGAAAAAGAGAAGGAGAATTGTATCCAGCCCTACAAGAATAACTGCACAAATAACAATAGGAGGATGCTGAGGAAGTGTTTTCAGCACACCATCTTTCCTTGCACCACTATAAAAAAAAAAGCTGAAATATTACTGAATCCTTTTAAACAGAACTAGATGTAACAGTCTGTACTAATATTATGTGTCCAGGCCTATTAATTTTCTGCAGTTATATATACTGAGTGCAAGCTTTCAAAATATATGGACTTAGACATCAGTAGAAACAGAGAGATACATTCTCCCTGATCTTTTCGTTGAGGTGATTTCTCCTTCTCTCTAGAATGGCCAAATGCATGTTACCTTGGCTCTCCAGAGCCTGCACAGACTGGCAGCCTCTCAGCTCCTCTCAAAGTTCACCAGAAACTCCTCCTCACCAAGACAGCAATGCAGACAACCTTATAGTCCCCAAGCTGCGAGCTGTCTGCCTCATTCATTTCCAGGCAAACAAAGAGTATGAGGCCTTTATACAAAGTAATACAGACACACTAGGGGCACATCTTGCACAGAAAATGCATTTCTTTGCCCTGAGTGGAGGAGCTGTTGAGTTCAGTTCTTCTGTTTATCATCCTTCCCCATTATTCTCCAGTTGCTTCTGTAATCAAAAGGTGGATATAATGAATTCCCATGACTGCTTCCCCTTTTCTTTTAAAAGCCTTTGTCTAATTTCTGCACTGACTCATAGCTACTACAGCCCTCCCCAGATTTAGCATATTTGTTTACATGGGAAGTAGCTTAAAACCCAAGACAAATCCAAACTTCGCATCAACGTTTTGGCAGAAATAATAATTTGATTATTTAAAAAGAAACACATCCCATTATCTAACTATTCCCATTTCACCTCTATTGAAGGAATCATTGTTAACTGAGATCTTTCACAGAAGGTCTCTAGTATCACCATGTTCAGGCTCTGTAGGTCTGTGAAAGAGAAGCAAGTTCCAGATTACTTGAGCTGTCAAAGAAAACACACTGCCATCTTAATTTTCTTATTTCTCGTTGTTACTTGAACACACTGTAGCTGTCAGTGTGACAGGGAGTAAGACATGATTTATCATTTGTGAATCTACAGGTCATTATGAAAGCCTAAACTGGAGCATTAGTAGTATCTACTGTTGGTAAAATGTCCCACTAAGTAAGCACATATTTCTCCAGTGTCAGTCTCCAAACAGGTGAAACCACATTTTCTGGATTTTTAAACAGATGTGGAGATACAATGCACAGGTTTTCAGGAAAAAAATACTTTTCCATCATAAAGGCAGCCCAGCAAAAGCTTGATTGCCTGGTAAATTTTGATACTTTGTGGAAGCTCTGCTCTCAGGGTATATGTGAGGTGTAGGCTGACACTGTGAATCTAACAGGACAAGGAGGCCGTTAGACCTCCATAAACCAGTAAAATTAATTTCAAATGGAATCCAGTCACACAGGAATACCAAGAATACAGAGTGCTGAAGAATAACTCTCAGTTTAGTCAGAATGTCCCACTCAGACCTCCAAAAACCAGCTAATGTAAACAGCTTCTTCTCAGGAGAGGAACGCCAAGAACATACAGTCAGAACAAGAGCTCATCAAACTGCTGTTTTCTGAACAAATGGCAGAGTGATTTTGCTAATAATCTAGGAATGGAAAGAGAACTACAATAATCCAGCTTCAGTTTTATGGGAGGATGCGTCCCAGCTGTCATGTCATCACCTGATAACTAACAGCAGGCACAATTCTCCAAACATAAGGGGTGTCAATCCCATGCTCTATGCATATGAAGCATGTGGTATAAAGGAATCCACTGGGCAACACATAATACCTGGTTCCTGTTACCTTAGTTATTCAATATAATTGGTGGGATTTGAGGTAGGGGAAGATGGGTGGTGCCAAGTAATTTCTTTCTCCTTTAGGGTCATTTTCCATACAGTCATACAAACTGTGGGAGGTTTCAAGCAATATCCTTATGATTCTAGGGTAACTTAAGTTCACCTGCCTTATCCAGGGGAGGGACATGGAATTCTACAGAAAGAAAGCCCAGAAAGCCAGTGTGCTGAGAGACAGGCCCTCTGGATATGGGAATATTTAGCAAGCTGTTGACATTACTCCCCGTGGCAGTTCTACAAATCTCAAATACAGAATTAAAGTATCTACAGAAGCAACTGCCCTCCTTGAGCATGCTCAAGTCACATCAAGTAGTATGACCTTTCCTGTACCAGCTGCAGGTTCTGCAGACTGCACATCTCACTGCAGTCATGTAGGATAATCGTTGAGGACTAATGATCTGTATTTAGCAAAGATGAAATTGAGATGGGTCTTCCTCAAGGTCCCATGATAAAAAGACAAAGCATGTTTAATATCCAGTATATGTAACATTCTTGCTACGGACTGATGTGATATAAGAAAGGACAGACACAGGAAGGACAATATCCTAAATCAAGTGGCACACAGAAGTTATCTTTGGTATGAAACTTCAGATATGTCCAAAGTATACCTTTACTGCAGAAAGTTTTGTGTAAGAGGGACTAATCATGACAACCTCCATCTTTTTCATCCTTCTACTTGTTATAATAGCCACCAAAAAGAGATTTTTCACAGAAAGGGGGCAAAGTTTAAATAAACCAAGAATTCAAAAAACTCCATTAATGTTGTAGGAATCATGTTTATGTTTCCCTGAGGATACCTAGCAAGGGAAAAGCCCTCAGGAGAATACTGAATAACTGAGTCGCAACTGACGCACTAAATATTCATCTTTAAAACACATACACAAAAAAAAAAAATCCCTGATAACAGCCTCCTCTACATGTGCTCTCTTATATGCTGCCTATTTTTATTTCTGTCTGATTGGCTAAGCATTCTCCTTCAGGGACAGAGCCTTGTCTCGGTGGCAAGCTGGCATCCCCA